TGCTGCTGCTGGTGTTGTTGTTATTGTTGCTGCTGCTGGTGTTGTTGTTGCTGCTGCTGCTGGTGTTGTTGTTATTGTTGCTGCTGCTGGTGTTGTTGTTATTGTTGTGCTGCTGCTGGTGTTGTTGTTAATTGTTGCTGCTGCTGGTGTTGTTGTTGTTGTTGCTGCTGCTGCTGGTGTTGTTGTTATTGTTGCTGCTGCTGGTTGTTGTTGTTTTGTGATGCTGCTGGTGTTGTTGTTATTGTTGATGATGGTGGTGTTGTTGTTATTGTTGTTGCTGCTGGTGTTGTTGTTGCTGCTGGTGTTGTTGTTATTGGTGTGTGGTGTTGTCGTTATTGTTGTGCTGGTGTTCGTTGTTGCTGCTGGTGTGGTTGTTATTGTTGTTGAGGTGGTGTTGTTGTTGCTGCTGCTGGTGTTGTTGTTGCTGCTCGCTGCTGGTGTTGTTGTTGCTGCTACTTGGTTGTTAGGTTGTTATTGTTTTTGATGGTGGTTGTTGTTGCTGCTGCTGTGTGTTGTTGTTGCTGCGGCTGCTCGTGTTGTTGGTGCTGCTGTTACTATTTATTGTTGTAGGTAAGGACACTCTGCAACAAGTTAGGTATTTTCATTATGAAAACGTTTCGCCTCACAGTAGGTTCTTCAGTCGTAGTACAGAAAAGTTATTGAACAGAAGATACTTGAGACGATGTTATCAGTCCATCACCCTTAAGTTTTGAGTGGTCAGTCCCTCAGTCTGGAGAAGAGCATTGTTCCATAGTATGAAACAATATGGAGATGAAGTGACAGGATGGAGCTTATATAGCGCCAAGAGGTGAGACGTAGGTAACTAGAAGAGGTAAGAACTCAGATGTAGAGAGGTCAGGTCCCTCTCAAATCCAGCCGCTCTCACTAGTGGAAGTTGTCGCCCCCCCCAAATGTTGATTGCAGGTCTGTACCAAGATACCCTTGTGTTGCAGTGTCTGACAGATTGAACATTAAAATGGTATAAAATGGTATAAAAGGGTGATGGACTGATTACATCGTCTTCAAGTATCTTCTGCTTCTATCAACTTTTCTGTACTCGACTGAAGAAGCCTACTGTGTAGGCGAAACGTTTCATAATAAAGATACCTAACTGTTGCATATGTGTCTTACCTAACAACCTGTCGGTATTTTATACCATTTTAATGTTCAAACTATTATTGTTGCAGGTTCTGTTGTTATTACTGTTGTTGCTGGTGTTGTTGTTGTTGCTGGTGGTGTTGCTGCTGCTGCTGCTGGCCAGGCTTGAGACGTAGCTATATATAATGTGTTGAGATAAGGCCCACCTCAAGGCTATTAAAACACCTGGCTCAAGCTGAGGTGTGCATTGTTTTCATGTGTGTGTGTGTGTGTGTGTGTGTGTGTGTGTGTGTGTGTGTGTGTGTGTGTGTGTGTGTGTGTGTGTGTGCGTACTTATCTATTTGTGATTGCAGTGGTCGAGTCTCGGTTCCAGGCTACGCCTCTCTTCTGGCCGCTACCGAGTTCACGCCCTCCTGGCTGCGTAAGCGGTATTGTACCTGTTCTTAAAACTATGTATGGATCTAGCCTTTACGACTTTGTTGTCTAGGCCGTTTCACTTTCTGACTACTCTAAGCCCCCGCGGCCCGGTCCATGACCAGGCCTCCCGATGGATCAGGGCCTGATCAACTAGGCTGTTACTGCTGGCCGCACGCAGTCCAACGTACGAGCCACAGCCCGGCTGATCCGGCACTGACTTTAGGTGTCTGTCCAGCTCTCTCTTGAAGGTAGCCAGGGGTTTATTGGCAATTCTCCTAATGCTTGATGGGAGGCTGTTGAACAGTCTTGGGTTCCGGACACATATGGTGTTTTCCCTTAGTGTACCAATGGCGCCCCCTAACATCTCTGTGATTCATTTTTTTTAACCTCCAGGTGTGCTCTCTTGTTCCTGAGACCCGCCTCTCAGACAATCTCCCTGTCCACCATGTCAATTCCTCTCAGTATCTTGTATATCATAATCATGTCACCCTGGTTCTGTTGTCCTCTAGTGTCGTCAGGTTTAGCTTCTCTAGCCTCTCCTCGCAGCTCACAACCCTCAGCTCTGAGACTAGTTTTGTTGCAAAGCTTTGTGCTTTTTCTCGCTTGTTTACATGCTTTATCGAATGTGGGTTCCATACTGGTGCTGCATACTCCAAGATGGACCTGACATGACGTGTATAGGGTCACGAATACTTCCCAGTTGAGGTTCCTGTGTGTGTGGGAGTGGAATGTGCGCACTGAATTGTGTTTGCGAGGTCGAGATTCGGCTCCTGGCCCCGTCTCCTAGACTACTTTGCTTGACATTACTAATCTTGGTACTAAATTAAACCGGCGAGTTTGGCTTCTTCTGCCAAATTAGGAGAACCATTTTTTCCATAAATCAGCGGAAATCAATCTGAGCAAAACGAAAAATATATATCATTGATTTGAAGCAATATTATATAAATTTAAATTGACTTGTGCTATACATAACAGAATTTAGTTTAAAAAAAATCCACAAGATAGTTAGGCGAGGTGAGGTTTATATATATATATATATATATATAAATATATATATATATATATATATATATATATAATATTTTATATATATATATATATATGTACTCACCTATTTGTACTCACCTATTTGTGGTTGCAAGGGTCGAGTCCTAGCTCCTGGCCCCGCCTCTTCACCGGTTGCTACTAGGCCCTCTCTCCCCCGCTCCATGAGCTTTATCAAACCTCGTCTTAAAACTGTGTATGGTTCCTGCCTCCACTACGTCATTTTCTAGGCTATTCCACTGCCTTACAACTCTATGACTGAAGAAATACTTCCTACTATCTCTCTGACTCATTTGTGTCTTCAACTTCCAATTGTGGCCTCTTGTTTCTGTGTCCCCTCCCTGGAACATCCTGTCTTTGTCCACCTTGTCTATTCCACGCAGTATTTTATATGTCGTTATCATGTCTCCCCTGACCCTCCTGTCCTCCAGTGTGGTCAGGCCGATTTCCCTTAATCTTCTTCATAGGACATTCCCCTTAGCTCTGGAACTAACCTTGTTGCAAACCTTTGTACTTTCTCTAGTTTTCTTGACGTGCTTTATCAAGTGCGGGTTCCAAACAGGTGCTTCATACTCCAGTATGGGCCTGTGTGTGTGGTGTGTGTGTGTGTGTTGTGTGTGTGTGTGTGTGTGTGTGTGTGTGTGTGTGTGTTTTGTGTATGTGTGTGTGTGTGTCTGTGTGTGTGTCTGTGTGTGTGTCTGTGTATGTGTGTGTGTGTGTCTGTGTGTGTGTCTGTGTGGCATGCAAAGAGTATGTTACAATTTATTCAGCGTATGTCACACTCCCATATAGGCTGCCTCCCAACCAGCAAACCGAGTATACCTGGAGAGGGTTTCGGGGGTGAACGCCCCCGCGGCTCGGTCTGAGACCAGGCCTTGCGGTGGATCAGGGTCTGATCAACCAGGCTGTTACTGCTGGACGCACGCAAACTGACGTATGAACCACAGCCCGGCTGGTCAGGTACTGACTTTAGGTACCTGTCCAGTGCTTTCTTGAAGACAGCCAGGGGTCTATTGGTAATTCCCCTTATGTATGCTGGGTGGTAAGGGTTTAATGATCAGTAGGGTACCCATCGTTAAATCAGTGCCTTGGCTCATTGGCCAATCACAGGCAAGCCCGCCAAAGTTGAAGCAACGTGGTTCACTTGCGGTAAGCATTGGCAGACTTGCCTACCTGCTGGTTGAGTACGGTGCACTCTCTCTGGCTTCTGCTTTGCTATCTGTCACCTTGGTATACACTTTTTATTCCATCGGTACATATTGTACATAGTGTACATATCTGTATATAGTGGGTGAAGCCAAAATATACATTATAGTCTACTGCTGAGTTTATTTGTTCCAGTTCCCATTACGACCAGGTCTCACAGGCCATTCTATACCTGTGCTCGTAATATATATATATATATATATATAATATATATATATATATATATATATATATATATATTATATATATATATATATATATATATATATATATTATTTCAAAAAACCCGGCCATTTCCCACCGAAGCAGGGTGGCCCGAAAAGAAAAACAAAAATTTCTCTTTTCAACTTTCGTAATGTATACAGGATAAGGGGTTACTAGCCCCTTGCTCCTGGCATTTTAGTCGCCTCTGACGACGCCCCATGGTTTACGGAGGAAGAATTCTGTTCCACTTCCCCCATTTTATATATATATATATATATATATAAATATATATATATATATATATATATATATATATATAATATATATATATATATATATATATATATTATATATATGTGTGTGTGTGTGTGTTGTGTGTGTATTATGCACTTATATACACCAATGTGTGAAAATAGGCAGCGTAGTGTTTGTACACGCTGTGGGAATAAATAGGTGTATGTACAAACGTTGATGACATTGCGTCATTATGTGACGTTTGAGAAGAGGACCAGTGTTGAGTTTTGCGACAAAAGGAACATTTAGATCAATGTAGTTTGTGACGTCACAGTCAGCTGATGAGGGGAACAGCTGATCATTGTTTGTAGCCTGGAGTTGCTCGCTTAAGTCGACAATAATACTGATATACGAGATATCAAGTTGAATAGTATTAATTATGGTAATAAATTATCATATTAGCTGTCAATAAAGTTAGAGGTAAGTATTAATGTGAGGGGATGCTGTGTGTAGAGAACAATGCGCAGGTTTCGGACACTGTAAAGTTACCATACACACTGGAGAAACGTTTGTGCTTACACATCCTCAACTAACACCCACACCACCTCCTCACAGTGCAATATTACCTTCCCGCTGTCACCACTCAAGAAATATTTAGGCGACGATGAGTAATTCAGTCTTTGCATCAATGTATAAAGCGAGTTGTATTATAGAGTGGTATTTGATGTGGTGGTGTGTGGCAATGTTTGTATGATGGTAGGGGAGGTTGTGGATAGTGCTGGGGGTCAGTAGCTTGTGGAACAGTAGGGAGGGTGTTACTCTGCTGCCCGGGGTACCATAACTACCACTCTACCTTCATCCCTTACAATCGTTGACTGTGTGTGTGTTCCACATGTATAACCGTACCTTTTCACTTTTTCACCGTGGTGTTCACGTGCCCCAAAACTTTGGAGCAATATAGAAAAAAAAAGCAGTTGTGGGCTAGTGAAATGATTGTTTCAGGGAAATGGTGGTGCTAGACGCGGTTCCTAGTGCTCTTAATACTAGTTATGCTAATTATTCTCCACGTACGCAGGTGCCATTCAGAATTAGTTGACCTCTGGTGTGTCAAGTTACTTCGTGTTTATGTTGACCACCTCGCAGAATTTTAAGACAATGTAATTTTTTAATTAAATTTGTGAGCTTATTAATGTCAAGATGCAGATACCCACGACCTCTCCACCCCCACAACACTGCTTTCACCCCCCACAACACTGCTTTCACCCCCACAACACTGCTTTCACCCCCACAACACTGCTTTCACCCCACAACACTGCTTTCACCCCCACAATGCTTTCACCCCCCACAACACTGCTTTCACCCCCACAACACTTTCACCCCCACAATGCTTTCACCCCCCACAACACTGCTTCCACCCCCACAACACTGCTTTCACCCCCACAACACTGCTTCCACCCCCACAACACTGCTTCCACCCCACAACACTGCTTTCACCCCGCAACACTGCTTTCACCCCCACAACACTGCTTCCACCCCCCACAACACTGCTTCCACCCCCCACAACACTGCTTCCACCCCCCACAATACTGCTTTCACCCCCACAACACTGCTTTCACCCCCACAACACTGCTTCCACCCCCCCCACAACACTGCTTTCACCCCCACAACACTGCTTTCACCCCCACAACACTGCTTTCACCCCCACAACACTGCTTTCACCCCCACAACACTGCTTCCACCCCCCACAACACTGCTTTCACCCCCCACAAACACTTTCACCCCCCACAACACTGCTTTCACCCCCACAACACTGCTTCCACCCCCCACAACACTGCTTCCACCCCCCACAACACTGCTTTCACCCCCCACAACACTGCTTTCACCCCCACAACACTGCTTCCACCCCCCACAACACTGCTTTCACCCCCCACAACACTGCTTTCACACCCCCTCCAACACTGCTTCCACCCCCCACAACACTGCTTTCACCCCCCACAACACTGCTTTCACCCCCCCACAATGCTTTCACTCTCCACAACCCACTAGCTTTACCCCTCACACCCACTAATTTCACCCCACAACCCACTAGTTTCACCCCACAGTCCGCTAATTTCACTCCCACATTAACAAGTTTTTACCCCCACGTTCATTAGTTTCTCCCCCATAGTCACTAGTTTCACCTCCCTAGTTTCACCCGCTACTTTTACCGTTACGCCCACTAGTTCAACCCCCACTATTTCTATACCCCAACTAGTTCCATCCCCCACTAGTTCCTCCCCCTAAGTTCCACACCCACTCACTAGTTCCACAGTTCCAACCACAATCATTAATTCCACCCGTACTCTCTAGTATCAACTGGACAAGTATCTTCACCAGGTGCCAGATCAACCAGGCTGTGATGGATATGTGGGGCAGCGGGCCTCCAGCAGCAACAGCCTGGTTGACCAGGCAAGCACCAGACGAGCCTGGCCAATGGGCAGGCTCTGAGAGTAGTAAAACTCTTCAAATGTATATCAAAGTATACCCACTACCCCCAATCACCCATATACCCACTACCTCCACCCACACAATTTCATACATACCCGGTAGTTTCATATAATGTACACCCATTAATTTCACACCCACTAGTTCCTTAATTATTCCACCCAACCGGCTACACACTTGTTACATTCACCCACCCAACCATACAAAATAGTTCCACCCATACATCCCTCATGGGAGGTGCCGTGATGCCGGTGAGGGGTTCTTGATCCAAAGAATTTGGCTTGTTCTCCCTTTCCTTGGATCAACCCTTATTACCTCCCTTTCCCTCAGGCTCTATATGACCTCTACGTGTTTAACCTCCACCCCGTCCATGAATGTAATAAATAATAATGGCCTCGCCTGTACCCTGGCATGTTACAGCTGATTTCGCCTGTACCCCTGGCAAGTGTTACAGCTAACTACTACAGCCAGAGTGCTGACTCTGTACATGTACAGACAGTCAGTGTTTGTTACGTTGTTTAGGTGTCTTCTCGAGCGAGGCCTTAGGGGCTGTACATCTATGCAAGCAAGACTATGCAGCAGCGACTGAGCTGCTAAGGTGATGTTCCTACTGAAGTATATTGTCTTCCTGGCCTCTCCTGCCACGTAGTGTTTATGGCCCTCTCGTTCACACCCTTCCACAACGCAAGGTGAGTTGCTGGCCTTGTTGAGTCCCGCTGTAACCTAAGTCCCATTGAGGAGCACTAGGAGATGCTATAAACACTAAGTATGTAAATTAAACACGTTGTAATACAAGGGAATTTATCTTGGTATTGCGAGAACTTCAGTAAAATGACTGCCGATGTCTCCCAAATTGACTATAGCACATTGTGTTGCCACCATGGTTTGTATGGTACACTACACAAATAACCCGAACTTGGGGAAAAAGAAGCTATGATGACGTTTCGGTTCGACTTGGACCATTGACTAGTCACACTAACACACGAAGGTGAAGGAGCCACTGTATATAGGAAAGGAGGTCGAGGTTGGGACAGAGGAAGAAGGAAGTGAAGTAGTAGTAATGTGTAAGTGTATTCAGGTATACACAAATACAGTTACATAATTATCATACATAGCAGCATGTGTGTAAAGAACCTAGGATAACCCAAAAAAGTCAGTGACTTATTTCCGTTGTAGTGGAAGTAGTAGTAGTAAGGAGAGTAGTGGTAGTGGCACGAGACAGAAAAGGGAGTGAAGCGAGGTGATAATAGCAGTAAGTCACAGACTCCGTCTTATTGAAGCATCCCATATACACTACTTTTTAATATAAATCTTAGTCCTGGCTTCAGTTTTTGTAGTCTCGATGCATTCCTGTCTCGTTACATTGTCAAATGCTCTAAACTTCAGAGCACTCGAGACTTGACCTGATCTTATTTTTTTCCTCTCTCTACCTCTTCTTTCCATGTTTTCTTTATCTTCCTTTCTTCTGCCTAGGTGTGTTCTGTCCTTCAATTTTTTTACCTCCTGTGTTTTTGGTCCCACCCTCGTGAGCCATTAGCTCTCCTGCAGTGCTTCAGTTTTCTTGTCCTTAGACTTCATTTCTACTGCTATTGCCTCCCTTCACTCCTATTTCTGTCTCTTGTGCATTACCTTTGCCACTACTTCTCCAGTTCCTTCTTTCTTCCTCTCGTCCCTGCCTTCTCCTTTATACACTGGCTCCCTCAGCGTGTTTTATTATGACTTATCAATGGTTCAAGTTGGACCGAAACGTCGTCATAACTTTTCTCCCATGTGCGGGTTATTTGTGCATTATTCCAGTCACGGTATTGTGCCTTTTTGTTTTTCGTTTGTGTGGTATATGACAGGGTTAGAGCAAGAGCCATATTTAGTATACCCATCACGCAGGATTCTTGTCATACTCCATCACACATGCTGGGTTTCATGCATACAAGGCACATCTACCCATCTTTAAAAGCAAATAAGTTTCTTACAAAATATATTTAGCATATTTGTAGATGTACGTTGTTTAGATAAGATAAGATAAGATTTCGTTCGGATTTTTAACCCCGGAGGGTTAGCCACCCAGGATAACCCAAGAAAGTCAGTGCGTCATCGAGGACTAACTTATTTCCATTGGGGTCCTTAATCTTGTCCCCCAGGATGCGACCCACACCAGTCGACTAACACCCAGGTACCTATTTGCTGCTAGGTGAACAGGACAATAGGTGTAAGGAAACGTGTCGGAATTTCCACTCGCCGGGAATCGAACCCGGGCCCTCCGTGTGTGAAGTGGGAGTTTTAGCCACCAGACCACCAGGTTTGGTAAAGATCACATTGTCATCTATAAGCAACATTTAATAATTATAACGTTCCAAAATGCAGCAAATGCAATAATACTTAAAATTAAAAATTTTAAAAGCTTAAACTGAAAACGTCGACCCACTGAGCCCATTAATGATAGTAATCAAATGTTTTTATTCCAGTGTCACTCTGACGTTTTTAGCCAAAATTGAATAATGGCGTTGATTAGGAGGATAGACTGCACTCACTTTAACACCCCCTTTCCCTTCCCATCACAAATTCAGAAGACTACCAGAAGGATGTTTTAGCGCATAAACTCCTCCGCTGTCCGGTCCCAGACCAAGCATTCCGGTGGATCATGGCTTAAATAATTAGGTTGTTACTGCTGACCGCACGAAGTTGAACGTATGAACCACAGACTGACCAGGAACTGACGAGGAATGTACAAAGTTCACACTTGAAGACAGCAAGAGATCTCTTGGTAGACCCCCTTATGGGTAATGGGAGGATGTTGAAAAGTCTTGGACCCCATACACTTATTGTGTTCTTGATTTCCTAGGGAGTGATTTCTTTGTGTAGATTTGCCGGGGAGACCTCATCCACTTCACCGGATCAATCTGTTCCACCAGTTGAGGAGAAAGACTTAGCTCCCACTGACTTCCCAGATGAAGTCAAGTGTTTGTTGACTCTGTTGAACAAACGTCGTAAAGCCATTACCTTACCAGGTGAGAAGATGGGTATAACGAACTTATTGTCCCATCGTATTCCACTTGAACCTGGTACTAGACCTATCTATATACCTGCGTACAGAGTGCCTCATTCACAAGTTGCTGTTGCAGAAGAATTGATCAATCAAATGCTTGATGATGGAGTTATTGCAACTAGCAATTCACCTTGGAATGCGCCCTTGACCCTAGTACCTAAGAAGGATGGTACTTGGCACCCAGTGATTGACTTTAGGAAGTTAAATGCGAAAACTATTCCAGATCGCTTCCCACTTCCTGTACTGGGTGATCTTTTACGTAACAACATCGGAGATAACAAAGTCTTTTCAACCCTGGACTTGTTACAAGGGTTTTGGCAAGTCCCTCTTCACGAGGACAGCCAAGAGCTAACTGCATTCTCCACTCCTACAGGTCATTATCACTTCCTCCGTATGGCGTTTGGATTATGATCCTCCCCTATCACGTTCTCAAGGCTCATGACTAATATCTTTAGAGGTTTCATAGGTAATGCACTTATGGTGTACTTAGATGACGTAATCGTCATGTTTAAAGACGTGGATACACACTTGAAAAGACTTGATGTAGTACTTAGTAAGCTTGAAGAAGCCAATTTAAAGATCAAACTGTCTAAATGTCAATTTTTCAGATCAGAAATTAAGTTTCTTGGTCACGTAGTCACTCCTAGAGGGGTTACGACTGACCAAAGTAAAGTAACTGCAGTACTAAATTTTCCAACTCCCAAAACTGCTGATGCCGTAAGATCCTTTGTGGGCTTAGCAGGTTTTTATAGATCTTTCATTGCCAATTTTTCTTCCAAAAACTGCTCCTCTAACCGAGTTGCTTAAGAAAGATCCCACCTTTTGTTTGGACCTTCCGTCAAGAAAGAGCATTCCAAACTCTAAAAGAAAAACTAACATCTGCTCCTATTTGAAATTTTTCCAGATTTTTCTAAGCCCTTCTATCTGACTACTGATGCTAGTTCTTTTGGGCATAGGTGCCGTACTAGCTCAGAAGACCGATGGCAAGTACAACGCAGTTGCATTTGCTAGCCGAGTCCTTATGAAGGCTGAACGTAATTATACAGTAACTGAGCAAGAAGCTTTAGCAATAGAATGGTCTTTAAAGCACTTCCGAGACATTTATCAGTACTCTGTTCATGTCTTGACAGACCACGCTCCACTGATACCTTTATTCCAGAACAAACAACCTACTGGAAGGTTAGCCAGATGGACCTTGACTATCCAAGAGTTCAATCCCACCTTTGAACACTTACCTGGCAAGTCAAATGTAGTCGCAGATGCCTTATCGCGACATGTTAGTATAGTAACTGCAGACCCTCCATTTAGTGCTGAAGATGTAAAGAATGCTCAACAAACAGATCCCATGTGGTCTGGTGTGATTTCTGACTGTGAAGCCACCAGCACCCATCAGTGACTTTGTCATGAACCAAGAATTACTGTATCGAACAGCCGAGTTGGGTACTCCTAGCAGAAGAGTTTACCAGTTAGTAATTCCACAGTCGCTAGTGAATGTAGCCTTACAGCTAGTTCACGCTGTACCAGGTGTTGCGCACCCTGGTATGGATCGTTCAGTAAAACAAGCCAGATTGAAATACTTTTGGCCTCGTATGGAAACTGATATTTCTGAGTATGTTAAGAAATGTAGTGTCTGCATGCAACATAAAGGTAATGCTAATGGTCCTAATCCAATCCAAATGTATCCAACCACTAGCGAACCATGGGAAAGAGTTGCGCTAGATCTGTTAACTAATTTCCAATGTTCCCTCCAGGGCAACAAACATCTGTGTTATGGTAGATCATTTCACCAGATATTGTGAGTTAGTTCCTATTGCAGATAAGACTGCCGAGACAGTAGCTAAAGCGTTTAAAGAACACATTATCTGCAAGCATACCACCCCTAAGTCCCTAGTAACAGATAATGGAGGTGAATTCTGTAATGAGATTCTTGAAAATTTGTGTACCTTGTACAAGATCTCTAAATCCACCATTGTTCCTCATCATCCTGCCAGCAATGGGTTAGCGGAACGTACCAATAAGAAAGTACTTGATGTCTTGAGAGCCACTATCAATCCCAACAGTGAAACTTGGGATGAAGTTATACCTGATGTGCAATGCGCTATAAATTCTGCTTAGTGTTTCTATAGGTGACACTCCACATTATGCATTGTATGGTGTAGATAAACATTTGCCTTATGAGTTGCTATATTCTAATCCAAAACCAAATTACAACCCTGATGATTTCATAGCAACTCGTACCAGCTTAGCTCAAAGTGTTTTTAGAAGAATCCGTGAAACACTTCATAAATCAACAGCAGAATTTACAAGAGTCGCAAACACTCGAGCAAAGCCATCCAAAATCAAAGTAGGTTCGAGAGTTATGCTGACTAACTTTAACAAAACGTCTGCAATGCCAAAGCTTGATCAAAAGTTTGTTGGTCCTTATCGAGTAGTTGAACATATCACTGGTAATAAGTATAAGGTTAGAGAAATTAGTACTGGTCAGTATAAAGAATCGCATTTAGATCATATAAGTTAGTATGATGAAATGATGTTCCAACCCAGACTAATGTGACAGACTCTGACAATCCTCCTGATCCTGTACTCTCTACCTCTGATACTTAGTCAGACGATCAACCTGAATCTCGTTATTCCCTACGTACACGA